TTCTTACATTTATACTCTGCCTGTTTGTTTGTTTTCTAGAAGGAAACCATTTTAGTAACCATGCAAGGTCAATAAATTGTGCCAGGGTGATGTACACACATGTAACCACAGCACTTGCAAGAAAGAAGCAGGACGATCAGGAGTTCAAGGTCATACTCAGCTGCATAACAAATTTTAAACAGAGTGGGTTATCTGAAACCCTTTCATTAAAAAAAAAAGTAGTAATAACACGGTCTTACCCTCTGTATAACTTGTAATTTAAGGAGCTCAATTTACATATTTTTCTAAAATTCAACTCAATCTCCAATATTATACCTACCCAGAAAATGATAGGGCTTATCACCAGCGTCCTTACTCCCAACATTATTCTACTACCTGATCATGCTCTTTGAAAGATGAGTTACAATATGTAGACTGAATGAGGGAAAAGTCCTGATTGGAAATGAAGCTGTAGAATTTGCTTGGGGTCAGTCACACAAACAAAGCAGGGATACATAGTTTTTGTGCAGGAAAACAGTTTCGGATATCAGTTGGATCCAGTACTAGCTTAATCCATTCATTATCTAGTGGCTTTCTCCTGTTGGGCAAGTTACACAGTGTCCTTAGCCTTGCCTCTCTCATTCACAAAAATGGCCTTGAGCTTGCTTGGAGGTTCTAGCAGGAAGCGCAGCTACTCCTATATCCCTGACCAAAGACCAGTCCTACTATTCAGGGAAGGTTGTCCAGAAGCGCGCAGCTCCTGGAGGGAGGCACATGGAGAGGTGAGGGAGAAAGGGGACACATGCCTCACGAGCCAGATCAGCCGAATCAACCCTGGAGATCAATGGGTGACACATGTCCCAGCAAGATCGCCCCCCATGTCCACAAAAATGAAAGTGACATTTTACATACCTAAGAAAGTGACAATTATGAGCTAATATTTGCAAACTCTCCAACAGCGTCTGGTGCATAGGAAAGCCAATGCAAACATTCACTCTTGAAAATGTTCACTAAACTTGCATGCTACAAAAATCACACATTTTAACTGCTGTCTGGATATAAACATCCAAAGTTTTAAAATGCAAACAATAGGAAATTAATTGAGAATTAGGAAGGAAGGATGATTAGTTCTGTGAAGCACTCATTGGCCCCACACCATCTCCTTTGCTTTTTAGAGCTTCTTGTGTCTCCTGTTAATTATGTCTGCTATCAGACATTTGATAGTGATAGTGGGTTAAATAATACGACTGGGATAGTCATAGGACAAAAAATAAACAACATATAGGCCAGTACTATTTTATTTAAAGCAACATCTCAGCCATTGCCTCAATCTGATAATTACTAAAAAGAAAGACTTATGAAACATCTATTTTTATCTCTACGAAAGGCTCATAATCAAGTCCCACTGCTCCCCTCTCTGAGACCACAGCTTTCTGGAAATCTGGAAACACTGTAATGCCTACTGCTTTCAGAGGTAGGTGGTATGTGTGTGAGTAAAATAAGTGTCATACACACACACACACACACATATATAGTTAAATATATATATATATATACTAGGTACATATATATATATATATATATATATATATATATACTAGGTAAGAACGATTTTTAAATTCTATGTAAATAATAAATTCTCCTATACTAGCTATTTAAAATAGCTATTTAAGATTACTGGTTGGACCTCCTCCCCATTCATCTGATCCTGTTTTATCAGGTATCTTCAGGACTGGAGGTCCCCCCTATCAGTGGACTTGGAAAGGGGCACGGTGGAGATGAGGGAGGGAGGGTGGGATTGGGAGAGAATGAGGGAGCGGGATACAGCTGGGATACAGAGTTAATAAAATGTAGCTGATAAGAAAAAATAAAATTAAAAAAAAGAAAAAAGATTACTGGTTGGATATCTGTAGAAATGAATGTAAGTATGTTAACTTACATTTTCCTAATTCCTGTGCTAGCATGGGAAAAGGGGTTGATGCTCCATATATTCATATGCATTATGTTGAATGTTTACTTTTAAAATCAGCACATGGTTATTACGGCTGGATACAAGATTATATTATGGTAGGCAGGCGAAAATGCACCCAGAATGACTCAAGATTTTTAAATAGTTTATTTATTTGTTTGTTTCTGTATGTATGTGCATATGTTAGATACACACCCTACAGCATATATGTGGAGGTCACAGAACAACTTGCAGATTCTCCTTCCACCATACACATTCTGGGGATAAAACTCATGTCATCAGACTCAGTAGCAGGACATCTTGAGCCCCTATGCCATCTTGTCAGCCCTGACAGGAGTTTTCACCGTAAACTCGGTGTTAGATTAACAAGAAGAGAGTATTTCAAAAGTACGACTTGAGAGAGCCAGGGAACATAATAGGATTGCTAGCCACACTTCTAGGCAGAAGCTGTTCTGAGAATAAATCCTGTCACAGGAGTCCTCTCCTCATGGTTTTGAATCTTAGAAACATGGCGCTCTCCTTGCTACACCTGCTGTCATCAGCACACAGCAGGCTTAGTTTCTTTTGCAGTTTCTTGTCAACAAAACGGAGCACAATTTTCAATACAACCCAGGTATCCATGCACTCAAATGTTGCATGGCAGCTAAAAGCCTGATAATTCCACGTATTTCCAATGTGAGGCAGTGCACCTCTGTCTTTGTTTCTAAACTTCAAAACAGAGCCCTCTCATAGAGCAATACTGATTTCATTAAATTCGTAAAATTTTATGAAGAGTTCCCACGGAAAATTAGTAGGCTCTTCTACATTCCTAAGCAAATAGTTATAGGATCACGTGCCCTCAAAGTACAGACTACAGTTATTAGGGGATATGAAAAATTACAGGGATTAAATTGGAAAAAGTTAGTCACTTCTTACCAGAGTAAGAAACATGAGTTGTGGCTGGACTTGAAAACCTCACATTCATTTCCTACTCTTCTTGACTAGAAAGAGGCAGCTCAAACGCTGAGAGGAAGGGTGGCATGCCTGTGTAATGGCGATATTGAGGAAACAGATGAAGCTCCCTTTGCAGGAGAATCTAACGTAGGCTTGCTGCACCCTAGCATCATTTTCTCCAAGTTCGAGCCTCCAACATAAACACTTTTCCATATTTCAGACATTTGGAGTCTACCAATGCCCTCTGAATTTAAATTTTACTTTTAGAATGAAGGTATGAATTTTCATTAAATTGCCTGTTTTGCATTTTTTACTCATTTCAACAGCATTTGCAGAACACATACCAACTTGTGGGAGCCTTGACAGACAATTAAGGTGGAATGACGCATTATCTCTCTTGGTGAAGCTCACTGTGTTTCAATTGACCCTAAGTCAAATCATCCCATCACACCAGGGTGAAGTAAGGCTCCCAAAAACAGACACCTGTGTCAGCACTGTGTTGCCTCTGTGTACTGGGTCACACTCTCCTGTCTTGAGATTTGACAGTCACGTCAGCTTTAATCTCTTCACCCTCCTACTTCCCCTAATCCTCTTTCCTCCTCCATTTCCTGCTACTCTTCCTCCATCCCTCCTCTGCTTCCTTTCCCCTCTCCTTCCCCTGATGCCCCTCCTTCTTTGATGTGCTGTGTGTTTTTCATTTATTTGTTTTAATCTGGTGTTCCTTCATGTATATGTGCCCATGTCCACATACATACATTCTATAGTGATAATTTACTATTTCAGTATTTCATTAGTGTTTTACAGAATATATTTTAAATCTTTTAATTCTACTGTTTGTTTGTTTGTTTGTTTTTATTTCCAAATAAGAAACTCAGCACTCAGGCCTAAGGACCCAGAGCCACATTCTATGGAAGCCATAAAGAATTAGGTCATTCAGAAAAACTATTTCAAATTTAAACAAGTAATTATACCCTTTGCCCTAAATAAATTGCTTATTTATCTAAAAATGTAGTCATGGAGCTATGACAAATCATCAAGCGAATCCTGATTCTGATGCTATTTTTTGTAAGCAGAAGACTATGAAATGAGCTCTTAAAGAAATGGAGAAGTACTAGAATTCTCTTATAGTCTTATATTAAATACTGTCAGTTCATGTAAGCATCATTTATTCATTTCTCTACATTAAAAAGAATCCTGAAGTTCAGTGAATGGTTTCACATTCATCCCTGGATGTTACTGGTCCTCACTGGCATAGAGAAACTGCTGATTTACCAGCAAATTATCTTTTCACTTCTCACTTTTAAAGTCACAGGCAGGATTAAACATGAACTGAAAGCCAAAGATGAGCTACAATGGAGCTATTGAGAAATACAAACCCACAATGGAATTTTGAGTCCTATGTCGTTTAATTTAGGTAGATTTTGTGAGACATGAAGGCTGAAGAGAAGAGATACTGATGAGCAAATATCCATTCGATGTGCAAAGCTACACATTTAGTTTATTAATCCTAAATCAGGCAGTGCATACATGTACTTCCCAACCTCTCATTCCCCTAGTGTGGGAAAGAAGGTTATTAGACACTAGTGGTTTTTGGTTTAAGGCTTGGACCCGTTGTAGAGTCCCCAGATGGCATAGCCCTGAGAATATTAAATGTGGATAACAGAACTCTCACAGGGTCCCACCCCTAGATGAAGAGCTACAGGCAATCAATAGCTACTGAGACAGAGAAAGAATCTAAAAATGAGCCCCTACTAGGTTATCCAATCCTATTCGGTCAGCCCTAACCACATATGCAACACTAAATAACTCAGCAGGTGGTGTCTATGCATATAAGCAGCAACAATGATGAAAAATAAGCAGTCATGAATTTGAGGAGCATGGAGCACAAGAAGTTGAGGAGAAAAGAAGGAAGGGGCAAATGATGAAAACAAAGTCTCCATATATGAAATTATCAAAAAATAGATTTTAAAAAAAATCTCTTTTCACTCTAATATAGGACATCATGAAAAAAATCCAATTTTTAAAGTTCAATGCCCAGGTTCTGACAGTAGAATTCTCACAAAACTCTACTTACTGTGTACATTTATTTGTTCTCGATATTAGAATGTAATTCACTCACCACGATAGATTAGATACAGACATTGCAGCGATCTGTGGCAGAGTCTTCTCTGGATGTGAGAATAAGAATCAGGACATGCACTTGACTGGACCACTGTGCTTTCTGCTGTGGAGCAGGCACAGACCACTTGTTTCCTTAGGGCCTGGGAGAACCTGCGAAGAAAATCAAAACAGTGACGTCTGTAAGACAGAATCTTCAACCAGATAAAAGCTGTGATATAAAAAAGTCACACCACAGTACGATATTTTTCTTACGGCAAAAGAGATGTTATACATCAGCAATAAAATTAAATCAACCATATGAGGAGTGGAATTCTTCACCTGTAGAACCAACTGAATGGTTACCTGTTTTTAATGTTTTATATTTTATTTTTTAATTTAATTTTATTTATGTATTTATATATTACAATTTATTCAATTTATATCCCTGCGTATCTCTCTATTCTTTCTCCGAAACTGAAAGTATAGAGAAGAACAGAAAGTAGTTTTAGAGGCATCAAACATTTTCCCCATAAGGTTATACTAAGTCAGTTATTTTGTGACAAAAAGAATCAAAGGACTTAGTGCCTGGCTCTTTGTTCACCTCCCCCTGGGGGTGGGGTGCAGCCTTGCCAGGCCACAGAGGAAGATGATGCAGTCAGCCCTGATGAGACCTGATAAGCTAGGGTCAGATAGAAGGGGAAGAATCCCAACCCTATCAGGGGTCTTGGGAAAGGGCATAGAGGGGAGAAGAGGAAGGGCAGATGGGACAGGGAGGAGATGAGGAAGAGGGCTGCAGGGGGGATAAAAAGTGAATAAATTATAATTAATTAATTAACTAACTAATTAAAAAAGACAAAAAAGAATCAAAGATCCTGATTAATGTATAGCAGGCACACTAGAAGACAAACATAAATATGTGCATGCATAAATGAATGAATAAAAACAAACACAAGGGGGCTGGAGAGATGGCTCAGTGGTTAAGAGCACTGTCTGTTCTTCCAGAGGTCTTGAGTTCAGTTCCCAGCAACCACATGGTGGCTGCCAACCATCTAAACTGGAATCTGATGCCCTCTTCTGGCATGGAGGTGTACATGCAGAGAGAGAAAAATGTGTGTGTGTGTGTGTGTGTGTGTGTGTGTGTGTGTGTGTGTGTGTGTG